TTTAATACATTTTTAGGATATTCCTAGATGTCTTTAAACATCGTAAAAATCTTTAAATTTTTTTATATTATTTGATTTTCGAATAAATAAATAATAAATAAATAAAATTATTATATTATATTTTTATATTTTATATTATATTAATTTTAACAATTTTTTAATATATATATATATATAATTTTCAATATTTTTATATATATATGTAACTAATAGTTTATTTTTAAAATCTCTTAACATTGATTCTTTCTATTATTATTCTATTTTGAAAAAAATTAAGTAAATAATAAATATATAAATTGCAACTTATGATTATTATTCTAATTTGATGTTATATTTATAAAATTACATGATTTAAAAAATTGAAATAATTGATTATTGATTATTATAATCTCAATTTACCGCATCAATTTCTTATTATTCTGAATCTTTAATTAATAAATATTAATAGTGAAGTATTAATATTTTAAATTAATAATAAAATTTGAATTCAAAATATATAATTGAATATGAAACATATGAAATGTATAAATACACATAAATATAAATAAATAATAATATAATAAATAAAAATTTTTATTTATTGAATCAGTTTTTGTGAATAACTTAAAAGCAACAATAGTTTTATTTATATGATGTTTTTAATCATAATAAATAATAGCTATTAATATAATAGTTATATAAAAAAATATATAGATTTATAAAAAGAATTTGCGGTTGGTAACCTTTGAAGTTTCGTAACCTTGGTTGAGAGTATTACAATTGCGCATGCGCTTGAACACGCAGCCACGCGATAACTGTCTAAAAGTAGTGAATCATTGTTGCAATGTTGTTAGTAAGTTTGTGCGCTTTTTTTTAATCTTGATAAAATAAGAAAAGAAAAAATTGTTATCACTATAATTAATAAAAAATATTAATTCTAAGAAAAAATGGTCAATGCTATGAAATTATCTCTTGGTTCACGATGTGTCAAATATCTGATGTTCATCTTCAATCTATTCTTCGTTGTGAGTAATTTTTATTTTCTTTATTAATAACTCTTAGTTATTTTAAATACTCTAATAAATTTATTAGTATTAATTTTCATATTTGATTTTTTGAAAAATTTAAAGATAATAAATCATTTCGTATATTGTATAAATAATGAAATATTCTTTTAATTTGATTATGAATCATAATAAAAGTGCAGCACAATTCAAAAAGTTATAATTAAACAATTTTATATGATTTTATTCGCTTTTTATTTATTAAATTATAAAAATTTTACTAATATGATAATCTTATATATACGTTATTCTTTTTATAAATTATTGTGATTAATAACGCAAAACACATTAATTTCATACTAACCTAAGTATAACCTAAATATCGATATAAATATCGATATAGTATTTTATAAAAACTACCAATCAATATCATAGTGAAATAATCTAAATATTATAATATAATTATTATTTAAATTATTATTTAAAAATGTAAAACTAATAGTTTATTATAAAACTAATAGTTTATAAATATTTGTCATAGTGACATTGCGTATCATTCACGATTTATTTATCTTAAATTTAACTTTTATTTTTAAACTATATATAGATTGTTTTCTTCAAAATAAATATTATAACGAAATTATAATATGTATATGTAAAAATTAACGAAATATTTTTAGTTCTTTTATTATAAATTATATTTTTATAAAAAAAATTGGAAATGGATAAAATATATCTATAAATATGTAAATATAAATATACTTAAATATATATAATAAAAATATATTTATAATAATAATATTTTGTTATTTTTAATAACTTTATTATATAATGATTCAATTAAACAATTTTTAAAATTAATATAACATCTATCAATATCAATATGTAAAAGTAAAAATATATTTGAATATTTAAAAATTTTTTTCTTATTAAATAAGAACATTAAATATTCATTAAAATTTCTTGTTTTAAATGATAAAAATTTGAATAAAATTATAAACTTTAATAATAATTATAATAAACTATTATTAAGTTTTCAATATATTCATTGATTATAATAAATTATTTATAAAATTTAAATATGTTATGATAAAATTACTTTAAAATAATATGAAAACTTTCCTAAGTTTATTTGATTAAAAATTCTAAAAATTGTTTTCTTATGAAAATAAAAAAAATATTCCGCTGCGGACAGGATTCGAACCTGCGCGGGTAGAACCCAATGGATTTCAAGTCCATCTCCTTAACCGCTCGGACACCGCAGCATTTAAAATCAAGGTTTATTGTATAAGAATAAGAATTGTATATATATTGAAAAAGTAAATATTTTAATTTTATATTTTGTATATGATTTTTTCTGATCAATTTCTTTCAATACTAAAAAAATGAAATTTATACATTAAAAAATTGACATCAATTAATTGTATTTGAACAAAATACAAATATATAATTTTATAAAATAATTTATAGTTATTAATATTTTATTTTGTGACTATTTTTAATTATTTTTAATATAATAATTGTTATTTAAACAAAATAATTGTTATATATATATTAAGTAATTTGTAATGTAAAAAATATAAAAATGTAAAAAATCATAATATAATACTATAATATAATAATATAATCATAATATATTTTAGGAAAAATATTTAATATATGTACATAATGGAAAAAAATTTGTAAATATCTGCAATTTATAAAAGTCGTTCTCATTTTTTTAAATCATGGCTTCATATTAGCCTTGTTTCTCTTCTCAGTGAGTAATTGGATATAATAGAACTTTTAATCTGATTTTCTATTGATTCAATTTACAATGTAAATAGATCTAAATAATTGATTCAATAAATGCTTAAATCGAATTGCTGAATCACATGCAATAAATAATTAGATTGCAAATATTTATATAAATTTATATTTTTATGAAAATGATTAAATAGAATTTAATTAGAGATTAATTGCTTTATTTTTTAAGTTATAATAAATATTTAATTTTAATTACTTTATCGATTATATTATTTTCGTATATTTATTATATTTTTGATAAATAATGATAAAAAGGAACTGGGAATTTATTAAAGATTAAAGTATTTTAGAAAAAATTACTGATTTTATAATGAATTAAAATATTATTACTATATTATTATTATATTTTTTCAAATTTAAGTTGTAATTAATTCGAGATAAAAAAATATTATATACAAAATATTATTTTCAGATCACCGGTATAATTTTATTATCCATTGGAATTGTGATTCATGGAGTTTATCATAATTACCAACATTTCTTGGATAATAAATTTTTATCAGTTCCTTCTTTATTGATTGCAATCGGTGCAATTATTTTTTTTATTGCCTTTTTCGGATGTTGTGGTGCTGTACGCGAGAATTATTGCATGATAATTACGGTATTTATAATATTAATAATATAAAAATATTTGGTAATATTATTTATTATTTTATAAAATTTCCATTACAGTTTCAAAATATAATAAATCATGAATAAAATTACAATGAATAATTTCATTGTAATCAAAATAAAATAGTAGAATCAAATAAGAACTATTATGTTTTTATTTCAATGTATATTATTATTTTACGTAAATATATTATCAATGTTTTTTTCTTCTTGTTATAAAAAATTGATTAATAAAATATTTTATTAATCATAAATCAGATTAATTTAATACTTTTTTTTCACTTATATTATAATGAAATAACATTATATATATGTATTATATATATATATTTTAAAAAATATAAATATTTGTATAATTTTCAACTTACTTAATTTCTTAATTCTAGTTTACATCGTTGTTGATCATCGTTTTTATTTTGGAACTCTCAGGTGGTATATCAGGATATGTTTTGAGAGCTAGAGCATCGTCGATTATTCAAAATAAAATGAAAGATACAATGAAGATGTATACTGATAATAAAGAAATAGCATATGTTTGGGATAAACTTCAGCAAGATGTAAAATATTTTTTCTTTTTATTTTTGATAAGTTTTTTATTTATTTATTTATACTATTTGTATTATATAATTGATATATTATATAATATATCAATTATTTCTGAATTTAAATAATAAATAAATTTGATAAATTTAATTTTTAAATATCTAAAAATTAAAATGAAATTATAGATTTATAAAATTAATATAAAATTAAATTATCATAGAAATGTTATTTATTCTAGTTTAATTGTTGTGGGACAAAAAATGCAAGCGATTGGATGAATACTATATCTGCACTTCCGCTCTCATGTTGTAACATTGAAATGGGGGCTGTAGGATCGGTAAATTGTACTCTTGGATCTTTAACATTGCATTCTCAAGGTTGTTATTCTGAGTTTGTTTCTTTTATTAACTCCCACGCTCTGCAACTTGGTGGCGTTGCCATTGGAATTGCTTTCGTTCAGGTAATTAATATACATATAAATTAAAAATAAAATATAACAAATAATTAGAAATTAAATATAAATTTTAATAATATAAAGAAACAAGAATTACATAATTTTTCCAATATAAACTTAGTAAAAAATATTCATATATGAAAAAATCTATTATTTTAATTATTAATAACAATTAAATTGTTATTCATTTCAGGCAATAGGAATCTGGTTTTCAGTTTTCTTAGCGCGATCGATTAGAAATAGTTATGAAACTGTATAACATTTTTCAAGGATTTGAAAATCTTTACATATGATATTTTAAATTAAAAGTTAATTGTAAACAAAAATATTATTATAATTATGATTTCATTTTAAATCAAAAATTTTTATTATAATAGTAATATATTTTATTTTCAAAACTATAAAATCAAGAAACAATTAAATAAAATTAATAAATATTATGTTACAATGTATATATAAATAATAAATATTTAAATTTTTTTTTTATTTTAAACGATAGTGGAAAATATTTAAGATATAATGATTCGAATAATTTATTTTTTAATTACATTTATTATAATAAATGTTATAATTAAATTTAATAATTTTGAACATCGAAAAAATTAAATTAAAACTTAATAAATTTAATAAATAAGGATGATCAATATATGATATGCATTTAATAAGAAAGAAGTTTAAAAATGGAATAGTACGATATATATTTTCCTTTTTTGATCTTATTGTAAAATAAATCTTATTGTAAAAAGGCGTTCTTATTTTTATAATTTTAGAAATAAAATTTACATTCATAGAATGTAATTTACATTCTGGTTTTTAGACCAAACATTTATTACTTATAATAATAAATCTTTACAGTGATATTATATTGTTATCATAATTATTATTTTTTTTAATAATAATAATATATTCTTTGATTATTTAAACTCTTATGAAATAATAAATCATTATTTATTGCACAATGGAAAGAAGATATGTTTTTTTTATAAAGAGAATGAATACGAAGAAATATTGATTAATTAAATTTTTTTTAGATTATGTTCTTATTTCGGAATTATTTAAATTGTATCCTAAATATTTTCCAATATTATTAAAAATAAAAAAAATATCTTTCAATGATATATATACTCTATATATATATAATACTTCTAATAAAAAATATAAAGTAATTTATATTTGAATAAAAAAGAAAAATATTATGTATTCAATAAAATTTAAGTGAAATAAAGAAATATAAAACAAAAATTTTTCATGTTTATTAAAAAACCAAATTTTTTTATATTATTTATTTTTTTATATTATTCTTTTTATTTTTTCTTACGTATAATAATATTTATACAATTATACGTTTAGAAGTTGAATGATATATTTAATAAAAAAGAAATAATATAATAGTAATATATAAAACATATTTTAATGACAATCTTTTGTTTTATACAATAATACAACGTATCTTAAAATTATATTGCATAAAATATAAAATATAATTAAATTAGATTATGTGTTCTAAAATTATTAAAATAGTTTTATACTAATAATTTTATCGTATTTTATCATATAATAATCGTATTCTTAATATGATTTTTCATTTCACGATTTCATAAATTAACGATTTTATAAATCATTATTTTAAGTATTGTTTTGTTAAGTTTTGTGAAATCCCGATTGCATGATTATCGCGCGGAAAAATAATTGCCTGAAAATCGTTAGTCCGAAAGCTACTTGGTAATCAGTTTTGAATTAAAGTGAGTGATTAATATTTTTTTCATTTTAATCTTATTTCTTATGAATAATTTTTATTCATTTTTAAAATATAAGTCAAATTAAATTAAAATAATCGATAAAATTAAAATATTATATTTTGTGATTTATGTAACATAGTACAAGAATAATAAACAAATAAACAATCGACACGTTTATTATTACATATACTTCTCATTTTTTTTATAAATTGTAAATAATTTTCAATTCATTGTATTTCTATTATCATTTATTCATTTAATTCATTTCATTGTATGAATGAAATAATTATCATTTTAATCAATGCTTTTTTACATACCAATCTTGATAAATTCGTTTATAATTTTGATTAAAAGAAAACTGGAATTAAATGGCTCTATTTTAAGCAAGGAAAAAGAATTCTTTCCTTGATTTGAAATAGAATCTGCCACAGGTCGTAATAGTTTTCAGCGTATGAATAATGAACGTGTGCTGAATTACCCACACGATACATAGTACGCATGAGTCATATTCTGTTTTCACGCATGGGCGTAGTGACCGGTCGATGTGCCAGTGTCGAGTATTTCACAATCTTTTTACTAAATATTAATCTTTTGCTAAATATCATATGATGTAAATCATTGTATGCGATTAATATCTGTATTATTTATTTATAAATAATTTTAAATTAAATAAATTTTTGTTCTAAATTTTATATAATATATAGATTAATCCCTTCTTATTTCTTATCATTATATTCATATATATTATTTATATTTATATACGAAAAAATTTTTTTCTTCCCAATTCGTAAAATTTATGAAGAATAGATTTGTATTCTTAAATATAATATAGATTTATATAATTTTATTTATTCATAAAATATTTATATTTTTTTTTGAGAAAATACATTTTATTTTAAAATGTTCTTTATTTAAAATCATTTTTTAACATATCAGATATATTTATTAAGAAAATATTTTAACATCTTTTAAGTTTTACATAAATAAACAATGCAACTTCATTCAACTTTTATTTAATTTACTTACATTTATTTTTTCTTTAAATACAATCCGATAAAATATAATTAATTTTCTGATAATCTAATCTGAAGTATAACAGTTATCAATATAACAATATATATTATATATATTATTATATTTATATTACCAAGTTTTTCGATTTATACAAACGATTTTACAAATATGATATTATTTGAAAAATATTAAAAATTTTATTTAATAATGAAAATAACGATTACTCATTATCATTTGTAATTGTATATCATGACATATTTGAAATCGTATTAGAATTAATTTTTACTCGAACAATAATAATTTTTCTCGATTATATAGCTATTACAATAGGAGTTTTTTGCATACAAAAGAAGAAACAGGAACAGATAAATATTTGAGTAAGAGAAGTAGAAGAAAGAGAGAAGAAAAAAAAGAAAAAAACAAAGATGCTTGTAAAAACACGTAAGCAAACAGCGCTACGTGTGTCGTTGGTACGTATACCGCTTTATCAGTAGATAATACGATACATCGAATCGAGTTTAGATGTTTCCACGTTCAGTTCCGTAGTGCACCTGCGTGAAAGAGGATTCTCAGACACCAAAATGGCTGCCACACACCTCGATGTTGGTCTACGTTGCATCAAGTATCTGCTTTGCGCGGTTAACTCCCTCTTTGTGGTCTGTAACCACATTCTTTCATCTACTTTTCATCTGTCCTTCGAAGATCATTATGTCGCGTTTATATACATATGAGGCTGATTTTTCTACTGCTTATATTAAACAAATACGTATTTTTCTAATTATGCGAATTATGCGTGTATCGTGTTTAATATTTATTTCGTTCATTCAACAAACGATTCGATTATCTTTTTGAATTTTCAATATTTTCTTATATTATCGATAATTAATTTCATTCACATTATATCTTCAATTTTCTATCGAATGTATATATAATATCAATAATTTATGATTTGATCAATATTGCATTAATTATTTCATGTCAATTTTTCTATCGAGATAGATAAATACATATATATATGTGTGTGTGTGTGTGTGTATGTATGTAACACGATACATGCATAATACGATACAGATATCAAAGTACGGCAGACTTTAACGGATCTGTATCTATGAGACAGTTTTAAACGTTATACAATTGATCGAATTTATTGAAATCTATGAAATATATGAAAAACGAATGAAACGTCAAAATAAATCAAAATATTTACGAATAATCGATTAGTAAACAAATTAGTTAGAGACAATAACTGATATTTACATAAAAGCAAATTGAAAGGCAATATCATATCGAAAATTTAAAAAATTGTACTATGAATCATAATAATGCGAATAATAAGAGAAACAATAAGTAGGCAAATATTAATCGAATCGCGAGGGAAAAACGAGGACGATGGTAAATGATGTCGAGGTTGGCTAGGATTGTAACAACGTGTGGTGTCCAAGTAGAAAAAGCAACAAGAATAACCGTATACTCGGCCCTGAGATTCAACAAGTTAGGTCAACCCTCAGATACGAGCATGGATCAAAGTTCTACCCTATCGTTCGAACGAACAAAAGGGATCGATATCGACCGAGTGAAGTTGACCCCGATGAATTATTACTCTAATGCACAAGTTTTGCAACGTCGCGAACTATCCATGTCATCCCCCTTCTTTCTTTTTCCCCCCATTTTCATCATTACATTCCGACCAATCAATAAGTTGAAAAAAAATTAAAATCTTAAAATGTTATACACATATCTGTATAATTCGAATTAGAATTTTTATTTTTTTTTATTGATCGAAAAAAAGTTGAGACAATATACGAATTGAAATTAAATTTTTTTGCGTAAATATGTGAAAATTGATTTACAAGCAATTGGAACATCTAATTCTTGAAATAAAAATGGAAATTCTTGTTTTTTTTTTTGCAATCGATATCAAAATTGGAAAGATTTATTTTGCAAACATGAATAACTTCTCTTATCATTTCAGATAGACAATCTCTTGATAATGATAAGAGAGTTTCTATGTTTTATTATTATCTAAAATAGATTTTTATATTCAGAAAAAAAAAATATTTTTTTAAGTGATATGGGTTCGATAACCCTATTCAAAAGAAATTAAAAAATCGATTACGTTAGAAATGAATTATTCTTTAAATATAACTTCTATGGAGTAGAAATTTTAATTTTATAACTTTAAGAAGCTTATATATAAAAAATTATTAAACTTAAATTCGATTCAATTTAAAATAATATCAACCATAAATCGATCGATATCAACCATAAATGGTAGTTTAAATCTTTTTACTCCATAAAATTTTATAAAATCTAACGTATTAACTCCATTTTTTGGTATCTATTAAAATTTTCCGCCTATTTTCAAAAGAATAATAATATTGAAATTAAATTTAAGTGAACAAAATAAAAATTTGCTTTTTATAAATTCTATTATACAAATTATTAAAATGAAATAAATGTTATTCTAATATTTTTTAATGTATTAATTTTTCTATAATTCTTTGTTATTTCATATAGCCTTTTATATATTAATTACAAAATCGAACATTATTGAAAAAAAAAAAGAATTTATAAAATTTCTAACATCAACTATAATAGAAGAAAAAAAATACTTTTCGTGTAATTTCTTTAAACTTTTTTTTTAAATTTTTAAAAATAATTTTTTATAAAAATAATAATTTCAATATTTTATTTTTATATATTTCATTATATATAAAACTTTCATATACGATTACGATAAATGTTAAAAAAATCTTTTACATTAATAAAAAAATGTATATTACTTAAAATACAAATCTGACTATAATAAACTATGATTGATGCAAATATAAATATACAGTGAATAAGTTACATCATATCTCCAAAAGCTCATTCCCTTGACAAGAGTTCTCTATCGTTTAATATGGGTATATTCATTTAAATAATATTCAAGATTCAAAAGTTTAAGCATAAAAAATAATATTATTGTTAAAAATATTATAATAATATCAATAATATAAATTACTATATTAATTTTTTTATTAATTAAAAAAATAAGGAAATTTATTTCTGAAAAATATATATTCAATTATATATATAAAATATTAATACAGTTCAAATTTATGTATAATTTAATATTTCACTTATATAATTTGCAAATATGAATTCTTTATCTATAAATATTTTTTAAAACATAAATATTTAAAAAAAAAATAATTAAAATTTTCCATTCTAACATTTTTTATGTATAATTTTCTCATAAAATTATAATCTATAATTTATTATCTATTTACAGTTAACGGGAGTAATGATAATATCTGTAGGAACAACAATTTATGCTGTTTATGAAGATTTCTCTCATTTTCTGGATCCCAGCTATTTTTCTCCAGCAACTCTTTTAATTGTTGTTGGAATATTCGTTTTTATAATAGCTTTTCTAGGATGTTGTGGAGCTCTTAGAGAAAGTACTTGCATGGTTCTAGTGGTAAATATTTAATTATCTTTTTTATATTTGTATATGCACATATACATAGATTAGTATCAAATAAATATTAATATAGTATATTTCTTCTTTATATAAATCGTTAATTTTAATATTACTTATATGTGTATATATATAGTTTGGCAAATAATCAAAATTTATTATATTTCTAGTTTGCAGTATCACTTTCGTTCGTTCTTGTATTAGAATTAGCAGCTGCAATTGCAGCTTATGCTCTTCAAGATGGAATAAAGAATCTTCTTGCCGAGAAAATTAACATTACTATGCATCAATATGGAAAGAATGTAGAAGCTACGGAAGCTATCGATTTTCTACAATCGAAAGTAATAAATTTTATTAAATTTTACGAATTATAATACATATACACTACATACATTTACGTACATATAAATTTATATTTACATATATATTAAACAAATATCATTTATTTAAACAGAAAAACTAAATTTATTGTTTTACGTTTAAATATAGAAAAGATTTCTTTAACCATTCTAACATTTAGCAAAATTACTTAATATTTTTAAATGATATGTTTAAATGTATACTATATATAATACTTATTAATATGTTATCTCATAAAATATATTATTTAATAGCTTTATTGTTGCGGATACAATGGATATAAAGATTGGGAAGAAATTATGAAGGAACAAAAATTTCCTTCATCTTGTCAATCAAATATTCCATCAGAAAATAATACATGCATTTACGACGATAAAGGAATTTTATGTTCTGAATTTTATACGACTGGATGTATACAAAATCTTTCAATCATTATTCATAGGAGTGCACTTTATATCGGTACTGGAGCTATAGCTATTGCTCTTATTCAGGTTCGTATTTATATATATCATATTTTTTTAATTTTTTTAATTATAAAAATATTGTTAATTAATATTCGATAAAAGAAAAAAGTATTATATAAAATTCAATATTAATATATATTTTAGTTAATTTAACTATTTATTTTCAGTTAACAGGAATAATGTTTGCCTGTATGTTAGGCAAAGCAATAAGAAGACAAAAAACAGAAAGGGAGAGACGTAAATGGGAATTAAGGGAAAGTTTAGTCAATGGTTACCAACCATTAGGAAAATCAGATCCTTTCACTACCTTTCCTGTTGTTTATATGTCTTCTGATTCTGTGAAGAATTTTTAGGATTTTTTATTAATTTTTATTGAAATAATTTTATTTAAAGTAATACTTTTCAATTTCTTAAAACTTTAAAAATATTTTTATTTTGTACAAAAATTATTTTTCTTTTCTTTACGTTTTTTTTTTTAATTAAAATTAATTTCTATATGTTATTTCAAATTTAATATTTCCTTAAATATAGAAATTTGTATTGTTTATATAAAAATATAATTGTAGATAATATATATTATTATATATATATATAAAATTAATATATTTCTATAATACGTAACATATAATGTGTATTTAAATATTTTGTACAAATTAAATATATATTTTATTGGAATAAATTTTTTTTAGATTTAATTACATTTTATCAAAAAACTGA